CACACACACACACACACACACACACACACACACACACACACACACACACACACACACACACACACACACACACAGAGAGAGAGAGAGAGAGAGAGAGAGAGAGCAAACAACATCTTCACGGAAATCAAACACAGTAGGTCAGTGAAATGTGTTTTATTTTGCTGACGGCCTTTTCTCATCATGAAAGCATTGACGCAATTAGTACACAGATTGTACAACATGAAAGCAATTTTATTCTCCAGTTCCATTGACGAAAGTAATTTCAGAGCTTTATTGTTGTTATAGCAACACTTCTAACAGCCACATGACTGCTGTCAGAAGTCGGACATCTGCGCGTCTTTGAAGCGGCGTTGTGAACGGCCCTGCAGCGCGCTCAGAACACGATGACGTACTCCGTGGAGACGGCGGGCAGTGCGCCTGCGCTAAGGGAGACGGTGACGCGGTCAACCACCAGCTCCTGTGCCCCGGGTACATGCAGGGTGCATTCCGAGACGGCGCCTGCGCACTGCACCTGTAGGAAAGATCATACATTGCGTTATTCTTATACGATGCTTTTATTTACATAGAGTATTATTCTGCCATGTTATATGTTATTGTAATATACTGTCTTGTCTTAAACATGAATTTAAAAACTACTATACCCTAGAAAGTAACATCTGCAAAGTAAATGCATAATGTTTACCTATGCATATGGTCTACTCTGTTAATTCTTACTCAAACATATTCATTTTTAATAGTATATGGTGAGAGGAGTCTAAATCCCTGCTATAAAAATTGCAAGGATGTAACCAAACACCAGTTACCATGGCGACAGACGTCTGGTTCAGGTCATTGACCTTATTTGTTTGGAGAAGAAACAGAGCAAAAACAATATGTTTTCCTTCGATAAACATAACAATATCATAAGTCCAGATTTCTTACCAGGTGAATTATAAACGCACAGTATAAACCCTAAAACAAAGCATGTACAGTCTTACTTCTTTATGGAACCCATCTGTCCCGACAATCCTCATGGTGGCCACGGTGGTGGCATCGGTACAGGCGAACTGCGCATGCCCGACGTAGCTCTGGCCAGGCAGTGGGTCCCGCGGGTTGAAGACGACAGAGGAGATCACGTGACCGGTGCTGGAGGAGACGCTGAAGGCGGGAAGTGTCTGGTTGGCGTCTCCCGGAGTCACGATCTGTCCCGGGACGGAGACTTCCTCGCCGCTCGAGAACACAACCTTCGGGACGACAAGCACCGGCTCCGGCGAAAAGGAGTCGACAGTTCCCGTCACCTATAGCCAAGTTTAGAGGAAAAGAAGAAACACATTGATCCATCTAATGTAGATCCCTGTAGCTACTATACAGCAGGACGAAGTCCATAGATTCTTTTTGTAGGACATATCCGAGGGATAGAATAGGGATTGATTGTGTTTTTCGCCGCAAAAGCGCCGCAAAACTTTTTACAAAAAAAGTACTCTGTTTTGTACCTGTGCAGGCATTTTACTCCTGATGGGTCGTCAACACCAAAAGTATTCATTTTGAAATAGGCGTCGGAAATTTGAAGGCAACAACACATGTACTAGTCAAAGCCTCATCTCTTGAGGTGACAAGTTCAAGATCAAGTACCTTTTGACAGAGATCAGACGATGCGGTGGCTTCCTCCTCTGTTGCGCTGAAGCCGATGGCGTCGCAAAACGCCTGGACGGCCCCGAAGCCTCCCGAGCAAGCGGCCAGAACGAGAGCACTTTCCGCGCCTGCAAGAACACGACACACCTTTAGTCTGCACACATGCCATACATATAGATTAGAACATATAGTACAGTCTAACAGTCTAAGACGATTCAAGAAATAATCACAACTTAGACTCTAAACCGACATATTTTTACAGACCTGATTGAGTGGTGATGAACTGTGCGGCGTCGGCCACCTCGTTACAGATGGTGCCGTCCGTGGCAGGCCTGACGCCCAGCGACGCGGCGCACACGCCCCCGACCACCTGACTGACGCTGTCGCACACGGTCTGAGCCGCCTCCGGGGAGGAGTCCGCGGGACTGGCCGGGACGACAATCTCGAACATTCCAGCTTCCTCTGTCGGGAAAACTCGGTACTCCACGTCCGGGTCCAGCGACGAAACGTCTGTAGCTGAGGTCAAACCTGTGGATATATGAGATATGAAATTCTAAAATAGCAAATCAACATGCTTTAGCGATCACAGATTTAGATTTTTGGTCAACACTAGACACACACACACAAGCACACACACACACACAGAAGGCGTGAGAAAATAGACCAACAGATTTGACAACACTGCATACCTTTGTAGCCAAACGCCTTGACAGTCACGTCGTCTGTTGGCAGGCCACACCTAGTAACCAGGACGGGCAGCCGTAGACTCTGCGCCGCGGTGACGGCAGCCGACTCCGGGGAGGGCATGCCAGTCTCCCCTGTAGCCTGGCCTGCTTGAGTGCTCGGCGGTCCAGTTTGTGCAGAATCTACTCCGTTGTTGGAAGACGAGTGGTCGGCTGTCGGGGATACCGTCGCTACCCCGTGCACTTCAGACAAGGAAGACACGGATGCCAGGTCACCTGGCTCCAGATCGACCTAGAAGTGGAATAAGGGCACTCTGAGTTGTGATACGTTCAACACTAGGGACAATAGAGCACTGACGAAGGCAGTGATGGGTAATGGGCAGCAGTAACTAACACATTTGTTTGGTGAAAACGACATGGTTCTTTTCCTCCAGTGAGCAGCATTTAAACTAGATCTAGATTCAAATGATATCCCCGATCAAGTATCATTATACATTTTCATGACAGCCCTGGAGGCACCTTACCTGCACGTTGAGCTCAAAACTGGAGTTCTGTGCGGAAGCAGTAACGAAGACTTTGTCATCAGTCCACACGAACGTCATGGAGACTCCTGATGACGTCACCACGGTGTCGACCAGAGCGCTGTCCGGGGAGAAGCCGACAGTGGTCTGGTCTCCGCCGGCTGTCGTCTGGGTCAGGGACTCCACCGAGGTCGCCGCGCCTTCGTCAGTCTTGTCTCCTTGGACCTGTCAGTAGATATATGAATAAAAGTTATAGCTTCAGTGCACAGAATGCCACCGTGTAACACTTAGCTCCAGTGCACAGTAAACCAGTCATATTAGCCCTGAAGAAGATGACAGACGGTCATCGAAACGTCGACTCATGTTGTGAATAAAATAACCTTACTACTAGTATTCAATCATTCACCAACCTGATGAAATTATTTATGGATGAAAGAAAATGTCATTTTCCGCTTCTAAAACGGCCTATATTACTTGGAACGGAGGGTGTAAAAGTATGATTCCCGTTATGTTGGGCTGCTGACGCGCCACGAAGGAAGACTTAGCAGTTATATGGGGACATTTCCACCTCCCTCGTTGTAAAGTCAACAGCAGCAACCTGTGGGATTTTGAATCGACTGATGGAGACAGGGGTAAGATAGCGAATGATTGTGACCTAGAAGCAGACGCGTTTGGATATTTTTGTTCTTACCTGTATGACGTTGCCGTCGTCGGTGGCCACCTCCACCAGAAGGGGGTCGTCAGGGTTCAGAAAGGTGGACACACCAAGAAGACCTGTCGTGGGGAAAGGGAACAGTCTTATTACTTCAAACGAATATCCATTTTCCGAACGTTAAAAATGTAGCAGTACTATATATTATTGCTTGTTTCTTATAAAAAGCTTTTCTTAAAAACAGAACAGCCTCTTTCAGTACAAAGTTACATGAAATTGGAACAAAATCTTGAGAAAAAATAAGACGCATTCGAACTATTCTGTGAAGACCATCACACACCGAAGGGACTGGGTCCACATCCGGGCACGTCCTGGGGCCATTCGCAGTTGTGGGTCAACTGACTGAAAGCCAGCCAACCGGCAGGCCCGCAGGACTGGTGTAACGGCGTCGGGTACCCGTCAACACAGGTGTAGTACATGTGACACTCGCTAGGGTCGGGGTAACTGCCCTGGATTCGTCCGTCGCAGGAAACTGCAAGAAGTCAATAAACAGATGTGGTATGATTAACATTGTTTTGTTACCTCTGGAATTATTTGTAGATGGGTAGGTAGGAATTATTTAACGCGTTGTTCATAACATGCAAGCCACGGGTCAGCCGTATGTATCAATAAACCTTTGTGACGACGTAAAGCCATTTGTGACCAATGACCTGCAAAACCTTACATGTATTACAAAAGATTCTCTTTTCTCTGTTCCCTTTAGAATGCAGATACATAGAAATTAGTTAAAGCAGAAAAGAATACAACGCTGCATGCCTACAAAAAGGAGGTATTATAATCTTCGAGAATACTCACAGTCTTTGCAGGAAGGACCGGTCCATCCCGGTGGACACTGAGGGTCTTCAGCTATAGAAAACAACACAGGTGTTGAGAAACTGTAAACTTGGCTACACACATGTACGCACACACACACACACACGCACACACACACACACACACACACACACACACACACACACACACACACACACACACACACACACACGCACGCACGCACGCACGCACGCACGCACGCACGCACGCACATACACATGTTCTATATATTATATAGTACTGATAGACACAAGAAGTACTGAAAGCTTACCGTATGGACAAGGCAAAACGGACAGAAGAAAGCCTAGACATAGTGCGTATACGGCTGCGTTTCTGAAACGAACATGATATAATAAGACACCTTGGCGACATATCAAACGCAAGTTAATTATATCCTATCTTTATGTACCATAAGACAGGGATATAAAAAAATGTAAGGAAAATCATAGCTTACCGGTCCATGATACCAGACGATCTGCACCCCGCACGATAGAATGGCGAATATGTGAGAACAGTTGTCTTTTATATGCTGGCAGGTACAGTAAAAATAATACACATGTAATGCCACGTGTACTGGAAAAAGTGCTGAGCAAATTTCAAGAGGTGCAAAAACACTCATAATCCACTTCCTCATGCTTGGTCTATCTGGAAAACAAGATATGAAGAAGGGAATTCCTAATAATGTTCAAGTGTAATGCATACTAGTATTTAATATGGATACAAACGCTTATTGAATATTTTTCTTGACAAACAAAGAATATTAATGTGGGCCTCAGTTTTGAGAGCAGCAAGATGACAGTATATAGCTGGACAAACACCATGTAATAAAGTTATTTTTAGTCTGGGACATTTCCTCGTTCTTAACGACAGATTTTTGAAGAGTGACCGTTTCCTCATAACGTTTGATACGGGGTAACGATGGAATTTTCAATTTACGATGACAGGAACTATAAGATATTGCAAATGATTGCTTGCAATTGAATGATTCTGGTCGAAAATAGATAAGATACTAGTAACGTGCGATAGTAACGATTGTCTGGAAAAGGTAGTTACGGTCACCTAGCGAAATCGGTGTGAAGTGCATACCATTTTAACGGCCCGACCCATATCATAATGGTTCAATAATAGACGACAAAAATTTCCATCACTCGTCTTCATTGTGTAATCTTCTTCCAAGAATGATTATGATATATTCTGTTCATCGCGCTTCAAACATCGCGCTGTTCCACACATGAGAACGAAGTTTTGCGTACTACTACTGCACTGGCAGATGTTGCTAGGGAAAGCCGGTATGAAACATTACCCAACATAATTGCTCTACATAAGACAAGGCTCGTTGACTGTTACGACACTTTTCATCCTTCGGAACAAAGCTCAAATTTCGCATGAAGTGTCCGCGTCATGAGTTTGAAGTTGTGTTGTCAAACCAGACATTAGCCAGGGTCCTGTGGCTGGCTGCTGAATGACGTCACATCACACAAACGCCCAGAAGTGGCCGTCCTGCGGTAGAAGCCACACGCCGCTGACATGAGCGCTGCGCCGCCTTATCTCCCAGTACCGCACGGTTAGGCACAGGATTTATGACGTATGCACGCTTATCTCATCAGCGCCTCGCTCACGTGACCGACCGTGGCTCCAAAATGCCATTGCCTGTGTAATGTGATTAAAGCCGCTCGTCGTTACAAATGCGATTCCAAATGGCACTGAAAGTCCCGGAAAACATTCGCGGCGGAATTTACGACGCAGATTTTGACTATATCGGTGTCATATTTCTGCTTTCTGTAGAAGGTGCAATGAGGCGATGTGAAATAACGCGGCGTGAAATAGCGGAGCGAAGACTGTTCACATCATGCGCCGTTCCTCTTGGGTTGATGGTATTCCCATATCCTAGCGACTGGAGCAATTCCCATGCAACTCTATCCTCTCTTGTAACGCATAATGGTGCAGAGAAAATTGCACATCGCCATGAGCCTTCCCGACGGTTATTTCCATGTGAATGGATGCTTAAGGATGCATTAATTCCTCCTGACAGGGTAGCAAAATATATTATGAGACCTTTTCTTTTTTTCTGTCATATTTGGCTTCTATTCGCACAGCGATCCCATTCACACGTATCGGACATCCGAACTAAATATTTAATTCAGATTAGGGTGTTTACTGTTCGCGTTTTCACAGACGTGAACGGTCAACAAGAAGTCCATGTTCAAACACAATCTATGCACATTTATGGTCAGGATCGGGGCCCGTCCTGGTAATGCCCGACTGATGATTCCCGCGGGAACTGACCCCCGAGCCCTCGGCAGCGTCCTGCGCCGAAAATGATGCATCAGAGCGAAAGGAAAGTCACGTGGTATATGGAGAGTAACACACAGTGAAACCCGGTGTGTTTTTGGCTGACGTTTAGAAGCGAGGGCCTGCCTGCATCCTCCCAGCTGCCCCGCCTGTTTTGGTACCCTATATTCTACAGCGATAAGGGTGGCCGCTATATAAGGTAAGGTCATTTTTTAAGCGCTGCTGTTTTTATCCCGTGTGTTGCGAGATGGGTAAGTCTCGGCCATGTCTTTTGTCTGCATGTTTAGAATCCGTCGTATTTCGCCAATTATGCAGTACCGTCGCTGTATCTGTCACACGTGTTATCCCAAAATATGATGCATTTGTGCGAAAGATCGCACACAACAACAGTATAGAGATTTGATCTGACGTTGCGTATAGTGTATTTATGATATCGGTACCTCAGTACATGGTGTTGGTACATGTAGTTTCGTCAGAGGGAATTCGAAACGCTTTAATCGTATGACAACATGTCCGTACTGTTTAAAAGGAGTGTGAATTTTGGGCGTATTTTTCCTCGATGGGAATCTAGCATGACAACAACTGGGAGAACATACGGGCTTTCCATTCCAATCTAGCTGTAGTTATTTCTCCTAGCCTGGGAAACACCCACGGCCCTTCCGGGCGGACTTATATTTAGCTCGCGCCAGATGCTTGAGTCTGTTAGGCGTGTTTTCCACCGCACGTCCCGCAAACTGACCCCCAAAACATTTGATACAATTTGTCTTCGGTATCAGAACGTCCCCCGTGGAACTAGGTCGTACCCATCCAGGCAAGTTGCCCCAGGCTAGGGGGCCATGAAAACGAGTCAAGAAGGAATCGTGTCTAGAAATTCTAACAGGACTTCGCTGGAATTCAGCCAATTTGGGCGGCAGGAACAAGTTGCCCTCTGTGTAGCTGCCTTGTGTATCAATCAGCTGTTGTTTAACCGTGACCTTTCTGTGTGTTTTATGGGTTACAAAATGGGAGGGCGGGGGCAAAGCATCATCGGTCACCATGTAATTAGCCGTTCTCGGAGTACTGTCAACCTATCTGAAAAGCTTTGTGTTTTTACTATTCATTTTAGACATTTAATGTGACATAGTGTGACATATTGGGGGCGACCGTTTTTCTGACACATGACCTTCATGAATACATAACGACGGTCGGTAAACCACGCGGTAACTATCATAACATAAACAGAATATTTAGAATAATTGACTTTATGGTTATACCTGTCTGCTAATGATTGTTGCACAGTTTAAAGATCTCTTCAACGATATGAAAGAATATACACGATGTAAGCTCTAATTCACATTTTCCCCAACTCTTCTGTGTCTATTTTTTCTCACCATTCAGCCCACAACCCTACCAGGTCTTTGCTGACCATAGCCGCACCCCACCCCATCCCACATTCTTTTGGCCAAGTCCAATATTATTCGTCACTTGTCCTCAGTATCACGACCGAATATTTGATTTTTGTATAAACACAACATGCCAGTTACCATGGGAACCATATCGACGCCTGTATGGCATAAATCATATCATATATGTCAATCGATGTCAGACAACGGTTTTATGTTTCAAGCCACAGCAGTGTGAAGTAGATTGTTGATGACCTCTGACATGACAAGCCAGTGTGTCGGGTTCCAATATTGTGATACTGCCATGACGTGCTCTGCATGCTACAATGCTTCTTTGTCTGATCGTGCATTTGTACAGAACGGCAGCTCTAGCTTCACTTCTCCGTAAGTTGATCACAATCAGCGACAGTGGATGGTAGGGATGAAAAGGAGTAAAAGATGAGGCCAATATCTACCATTAAACAAATATTACTCAAGAATAAACAGCTAACAATGGAATAGAGCCATCCATCAAATTTTAGAAGCAAAGAGAAAGCTTGTACGCGTACATGACAGGTGCGGTATTCAGACCTTCTGTCCGCCATGAGTACAGTATGTAAATTGTTTGATTGCCATTCCAGTCGCCTACCCATTTACGAAAAGGTCACTGCGCCGTCAATTCTGTGTGTGGCAATTACGACAGAGAATCGCGATGTCTCAGCAGCTCAACAACAGTTCATATGTTTGTCTTCGTTTGTTAAAAGCACATTTTGTCTTTAAATATATGATATAAGGCTTGAGAGCACTTATGAATCCATCCAGCGTAGTACATTTCTTCTAATTCACCTTGTTCCTTTGACAATTTATCAAAGTCTATTTTCTTTCTGTCCAACTCACGTGTGGGAAGAGTTTGGACTTCTCGGCGCCGGTCGTTTGGCAAACCTTGCCCGCCTACGTCATCAGTCGGATCACCATAAAGACAAATTACTTGGCTAGGCTTGTTCAGAGTCGTTAGTGTTTGTCTCCCCTGAGACCTACTCCAACAGTGGTAAATGAGTTATCCGTACAAATCTGATATATATTGTAACGTGTGGTTGCCATAGAGATGTAAATCGCCATGGAAACGTAATGTGTAGAGATACAATGTTGCTCATAAAATGCATCCTGGTCACGTCCACACAACTAGTTAAAATGGCGCGCCCGGGAGAAAAATTAGGTCATCGCATCCTCTAAGGTCTATGAGTAGATTAATTTCAAGACCTCTTCTTTCCAAGTTTTGCACACGTAATTTTTCACCACCAACCCTCGCCGCTTCGTCCCGTTGTTATACATGTTGAAATGATATTATGGCCCACGCAATTTTCCGAATTCTTGTCGGAAAGATAATTCACCTCCCGTCGCCTCGATCTATAATTAAGCAGGAGTGTCATTGCTACAGAGTCTCACTATAAAGCATAGCCACACTGTGTCTGTGTTATACCTGAAAAACACATTAGCGACGCAGTGTTTGTCATTGTATTGGGTCTCTTGGGACGGAGAACAAAGACGCTTGTGCCATGGGGGAGATCGGTCATGTTTCTAGTGGGATTTGATGTGGAAACAATGCCCAATAATGATTGGGACATATTTCGGACGTACTGCAGAGTGTCCATCTGTCAAAAGCGCGCTAGCTAAGACAGCACTACACTAAAGCTGTGCGGACATTGAGCCAATGAAAAATAAATACGCAAAGAAGTATCGTGGCTACAATGTGCTATCGTACCTTGTACGGGCTAACCCATACATATTTCAGCACCATCCCCGCTCAAATACACCGTCTTTATCGCCCCTAAAACGTCCACAAATTTGACGGGAAGATGTGATCTCGAAAAGCACCAATGTTCAAAGTAATCTTCTCCCCTGTTACGGGTTGTGATACCAGGATATATCTATATCTCTAGGGGTGAAAGATATAACGGTTTTAACTGCCTTTTACTTAAATTGTAGGCACGCACAGGATTGCTTTGGCCGATTGAAAGATTAATTTAATGCCGAAATATCTGAGAGTGTTGGACGCGCTCTGTTTTATTTGATGGAATACTTTTGAATAGTTATGCAGGAGTGCAGCTTTGCCATCATAATTATCATATTCCCACTGGAAACGTTATTCAAACCCATGTACTAACCCAGAACCAGGGACGGACGTAGTACGTGCAGCAATTTGACTGGGCCACGAGTAATTAGGACAGCCATATGGAAGGCTATATCCCCCCCTTGGAATATGATATTACTGTTCCTTTGTACAGTTATGCACTGCATGTTCCTGCTACTACGTAGAAGACAAATCAAGGACAGTACAGATTATGCATTGTACAAACTGAATAAGGTCATACTTTCTCTTTCGCCCCTGTCTTTCCCTGGTGACTGTGAATACAGATTATGACTAGATGCATTTATGTCATTCTATTCTTACATTATTAGTTAGGTTTACAGCACGAGGGTGGGGAAGATTGACAGGCAGAGCGACAAGGTGAAATGGACAGACACAAGAAATGAGGATGAACTTGAGAGTAGGTTGACAGCATGTGGGTGGGATTGACAGGCAGAATGACAGGAGGTAAAATGTCAGACACGGGAAATGCGGTAAACATGATATGAAAGTCATGAAAACCCCAAATACTTCCGGGAAGTCTGAAAAATTCATTCATTCATTCATTCATTCATTCATTCATTCATTCATTCATTCATTCATTCATTCATTCATTCGTTCATTCGTTCTTTCGTTCGTTCGTTCATTCATTCGTTCGCTTATTCATTATTTTGTTCATTCATTCATTCGTTCGTTTGCTCATTCATTCATTCGTTCGTTCGTTCATTCATTTAGTCGGTCATTTGTTCATTCATTCGTTCGTTCATTCATTCATTCATTCATTCTCCGCTGTGTTGCCCAGGGTTGGGATGCTGCTGACAGAGATGATGACTGACGGGAACCCCACGGTGGTGCTGGACCACGGCACCGCCTCCATCAAGGCCGGGCTGGCCGGGCAGTTCAAACCGCATGTGTTCTTACCCACACTGGTCGGCAGACCCGCCTTCCCGCAGGTGGGACTCTTGAAGACTACAGGTGGTCTCTTAAGGACCCAGATCAATCTTCAATTATATATTTGGAGGGACAATTATATGTTTGATATCTGAAGCTGTAGACCGTCTAGAAAGACGACAAGAGCTCAAGATCTGATGTTCCAATTGAGCTTTAATCACTTACTGAGCTTTGATCCTGCCTCTTTTTTTTCGAAAAAATGTTACTATCTTTCCTCTTCAATCTGCTTGAAGATTAATTATCTTCAGATATAAGATATACTTTTTTTCCACAAAGTTTTGATTAAACGATATTAAATATTAAAAGGGAATTGTTCTATATCTTATCACCAGCATCAGTCCATAGGCGTGTGCTGCGGAGAAAAGGCACTGAAGAACTGGCGGGAACTGAAGATAACCTACCCCATCGTGGAGGGTACCATCACTGACTGGGACGACATGGAGGTGGTGAGTAACACTAGTGCAGCAAAGAAAGCTTAGCGAAAAGGGATTCGTCAATCGGGAGGGTTTGGCACATAGATGAACGTCCTGTTTAAAGGATCTTGAACGGATGAAACGCCTCTTGCAACTCCCAAAGGCAGTGAAGGGTGACTTCTCGGACAAATAAAATCGAGCCTTTTCTTGCTTATTGCAGATTTGGAACCACATTTTTCACGAGGAACTTAAGATCCAGCCGGACGAACACGCGTACCTGCTCACGGAGAGGCCGAGGAACCCGCGACAGGCCAGGGAGAAGACAGCGGAGGTCAGTGGCCCACAACACCGCAAACTTTCCTGCAAACGTATTCACTACTTGCAACGCTAAACGCTTATTGAATTAAAAATCAAGTGAATGTTCAATGTCTTGCTGCAGTGTAGATTGCTGTGCAACATGATGAACCGTGATTTTTTCCTCAGATCTTTTTTGAGAAGTTCAGTGCCCAGGCGGTTTACCTGGCGATAGAGTCTGTCCTGTCGCTGTACACGAGCGGCCGCACGGTGGGGATGGTGCTGAACTGCGGGGAGGGCGCCTCGCACGCCGTACCCGTGTATGAGGGGTACGCTCTGCCGCTGTCATGGAAGAGAGTCAGCGTAGCTGGCACCCATCTCACGGACTATCTTATAACGTTGTTGGAGAAGAAAGGACATTCTTTCAAGTCCCCAGGTAGGTTCATAAGAGTAATTTCATAAAACTGCTGTTTCATGAAAGAGTGAATCAGACATAAAAAGAGTAAATTTACCTCCCTGTACTGTTTATATCCCTGTTTTAGCAAGATTCTTACACTATGCTTTGAAAGCGTTCCTATCGCTCCTTCGCAGTAGACCAAGGACATTATGTAGTAACCGGAAGTAGTCGTGAAAGCAAAATCAGCACCAAGGACAGATGCTTTTTTCGCTTGAACCCAATGAAACACACCAACAGAACATAATCGCTCTTGCAGTTGAGCGGGAGATAGCAGGGAGGATTAAAGAAGAGATGTGTTACGTCGCTATGGATGTACAACAGGAGGCGGAGGCTGCTCCCACCAACTGGCTCTTACCACAGAAGTACGTCCTCCCGAACGGGGACACCATCAAAGTAGACCACGAGAGATACCAGGTTCCCGAGCCGCTATTCCATCCTCCCATTTTAGGTACGTACGTGTTGGCTACCCTGTAATCTTACGAAAGTGTATTTAATCATTTACTGTCACATTTTCAAAATTAGTTTTGCAATCTTTACATTTTGTTTAAGCATTTTGTAATTACGTTGATTTCCAGATTTCATAAGAATAGATCTACGTTTCCACATGCCACTATTCCCTTTAAAACGTATAATTTTGCCACGTTTCTTTTGTTCCGTTTTTTTCTTTTTTTATTTAGATATCATGGATGAAGGTCTCCCCGAGGCTGTGGTGACGTGTGCAAAGCGCTGTGACGTAGACATCCGGGACACTTTCTATAAGAACGTGGTTCTGACGGGAGGAGGGTCCCAGTTCCCTGGCATGGCGGCCAGGATGCAGGTTGGATGAAAATTAGGATGTTACATCTAGCATCAGGCAGCATCGTAACGTGTTAAAATTTAAAAAAAAATGAGCAATACAGAACATCATTCCGTTGAGTACTTTGTACCTTGATTTATAAATCCGTCAATCGCCAAAATAAATTTGACAATGGAAGCTCTTTGATTTTTCTCAACAACTCGCATTTTCCATAATTTGGGTCTGCCATCCCTAACCCTATACCATATACAGAGGCAAATGATTTGATCTCATCTGAAAGTGCAGTACGCAAATTGAAACTGCACGAAGCTTAATACAATAAGTATTTTTGGAGATGGCGCAAACCCAATTTCCGGCTAGCTTGGAGCTGTAATTCTGTCGTGTCTCCTGGTTCTTTGATATAGGTTTCATTTATCGGTACCGATCATAAGTATATTACTATTGGGTTACCTCTCTCATACCTGCTATCATGAATTCGTGTCTTAGTTACAAATGGAAGATGTCCACTGCTTTTCAGAGCGAGCTGGAAGCCATAACACCATCGAACACCAAGATCCGGGTTCTTGACCCCAAGTACAGAGGTCACGCTGTCTGGCTGGGCGGTTCCATCATGGGGTCCCTGTCGACCTTCAAGTCGATCTGCGTCGACAGGCAACAGTACAAGGAGTATGGGCCGGAAATCATCCACCAAAAGTGCTTTTAAACAACAGCTCTTTCACGAATTCCACTTGACATTTACTATTTTTCTGGCTAGAACATGGAAAAATGCAAATCAGGCTAATTTCGAAATCTCTGAAGTGTTCAAAATATTTGATATTTTGTCAGAAATAGTTTAGAGCACACACGGTGTAATTGCCGGGGAATATATTGTTAGGAGTAGGGTTGTCAAAAAAGGGAAAAGGAGACGCAAGTGGCCGGCATATTAGAATGGAGAAAACAGGAAGTGTGAACGATTGAACAGGTGCTCTGTGAAACTAGGCCATGTGCCACTGGTAGGTGAGAGGTTGGTGACATATGGAGGATGCAGCAAGGACACGGGAAATATCTCCTATTCATGCAGCTGGCTTAATTGGAAGGTCCAACCCTCTTGGACGATAAAACCGTAGCAGAGATAAATATCACATTTAGTTCTGGGGAACGTGTCACGCAGTGTTAATATTGTATTTACCAACATGGATGCGTATGATGAAGTGCATGCTATAGTCGCACAAAATATTTATTTTCGGTGCCGCAAGGTTTTCACAGGGGTCTTTTCTAACTATATAACGCAAATCTATGTTATTCTGTCTAGGATAATAACTATTTTCTATGAAGAATCGCGCATACGATTGCCTGCAGATTCCATGGCCAGTGCCTTTCTTTAATCTGCAATTCCAAACGATTCCGCAAGGAGGTAACCTCTTGCCTCGCATTAGCCCCAACTACTGTCTGAAAGACTGCATTTACGTATAGCGTGCTTTGTTTGTAAATCTTAGGAGATATAAGGAGACAACAGAAAGGTCTATGTAAATTAGCTTGGGTACGTTTTATACGCGTTTAAGCATAACGGACAGCAGGCACAGGAAAGCATGCTGGGACTAGGAGTCAGGCAACAATTAGAAACAAATGAATTCTAGCTTTGTACATAATGTTTAGCCCACCAGTAAGTTGAATAATGATCCTACGGAAAGGTGCACAGTTTCTTCTCGACAAGAGTACAATCGTGACTCAAAAAATTAGCAAGTCTAGCTTAAGAGGTATTTGGTGTAATCTTATATATTAAGAACTTTATTTGCAGCGTACGTTTTGGTGCTATTCATCTTCCTCACTTTATGTAACTGGGGTATGTGATAAAATGGGGGGGGGCTGTGAAATATAATACAATCATTGTTTATACTTGATAATTTTAAAGATAGTAGCTGTTATTATAGAATAAACATCACTGTTGCATCTGTATTTGTCATTCCTCTATTAATGCTACAATTATGACAACTACATAAAAGTGACACAAAACCAACAACGTCATTGCTAAAATACATTTTATTTTAGACGTCCCACACACATTATAAATACATCTTGATACGAAATATCACTTACCGCTTTTACATGTGTATAAGTAGACTATCTCAGCCTAGTGCATTGTATAGCAAAAAACTACTTTCCATGACTTCAGTACAGTGTGAGTATTGGGGATCGAATACCTCCTGCACGTCTTCTTACAATAACTTACAATGTCATGAACCAGGAGCCAACTAGCACTCGTCATGATTATCCTTAAACAATATTAATGTTGTAATGACTGTCTCATCTACTCAATTTTCATCCGGTTGTTTTCCAACTATAACATGTTATCAGTCTATATTACCTGCTAAGCATCATCCTATAAACTTGTGTTGCTAACAAGACATACGATATTAAACGCGGCCATGATTATATGGAGTCCTACTATGTACACATATAAACAAACATTTGGGCATCCTCAAAGGGGATCCTTGTCACATCAGGGCAACGATAAAGTTTTAAGGAACATTTTTAGCGCATTGATATGTGCAAGCAAACCTACAAGAAATACCGTTTGTAAGGATCTTGTGCTAGGCTAAGATGAGAAACGAGAAACTCGAGCTCTATGAAACTGTACAACCATCTTCACAACAGTACTAGGAAGAAGTCTACCGCTAGCTGACACATACAAACATTTATTTCTTATATTTACAGATGATGGCAAACTTATGCATTTTGGCACTGTTCTGGCATATTACATGGTGCAACATGATGAAGTGAAGTAGCTAAAATATAGCTGGCGTGGCATCATCATATGTTCACCGTTACAAAAGATGGCAAATAATGTATCTTCGACTTCGAAAGGAGAGCCAGTTGGTGACGATGGCTCACGAGATTTCAGTTTCTCGCGAGATGACGACGTCTCGCGAGATTTTAGTCTAACACGAGATTTCACTCATGAAAAATGGCATAACGTTACAGGCCTCCTCACAGAATAGCGTGCTATCTTCCACTCAAAGATTTGAGCCGCTCTGTTTGAACTCAGTAGCGCTTAGCCCTGTTCCTGTTGATGCCCTCTGTCGCCTGCACGGCCCACTGCATGAGAGCGGCGTCCATGCCGCCTGTAGTCAGCAGGTAGCCGTCATCGTACAGGAACTTCACGCTCGTCACGTTGCTGCTGCACATCTTCCACTGGTGACTCTGGGCCTGCGGAGGGACCACAATGTAAGCATTAATTACGTCGTGTATACAATTTGTACATTGCACCAAAGTTATGTGTACTGTCAATAGGCCATGGATGGCTTGGCCCAGAGTATATGGGTGGGTGGTGGTCCACTACATTTCTACCTTGTTCTGTTGTGAGGCCTTCGAATTCAGAATGGCCTACAACATTTTAGTTGTAGCTTCTGTGATTGAATGTTCTGAATTGATCATCTTCAGGATTTTCTCAATAATTATATAATCACTTTCATATTCTAAAGAGTTAGCCTGAACGGCTGGGCGGTGTGGGACTGCATTTACATATCAGTGTTGCGAGCCTTCTCGTACCTTTTTCTGTGTGGAGGGATATCTGTAGAGCTTCAGGAAACCCTGACTGTCTCCAACAGCAAGCAGGTCTCCTGACTCGGAGCGGCAGACTGTGTTGATGTCAATGCCGTTCTCTCTGGCTGGCCAGATCCCTGTCAACATGGAAACATACAGGTCACGTATTTAGTCAGGATCGACATAGATCAAGGCAACAATAGAAATTGGCTTTATTTAATATGATTATGTGCTGGAAATGTGAAAAGAACTTAACATGTCTATCATTGTCATTGTTTCTAATTGTTGCAGATAAGATATGTCTATTGTTCCCCTCCATTGCTTGATCATGCGCTGCTTCATGCAGGCCCCATTGCTCCAACAATAACTGTTCTTCAGACCAAGGACTCCAGTTTGTCCAGCCCTTTTGGGATTACAATTCATCAACACTTTGGTCAATATTAGATTAAGACTTTGTGTTTCCTGTCTTTATTTCAACATTGATGAACCATAGCCTATTCACGGTACTTTCTAAGCGAGGTTGTGTGTGTGTGTGTGGGGGGGGGGTGATCGTTATATATGGCCCTTTTTTGTCGGTACCCCCACCGTCGGTTTCCGGCGACCTTCTCTGCCTAATGGATACTGTCTTGCCACCGAAAGGGATCTGCTTGGAGATTATATTTTCGGTTAAATCTGCGCTGAGGAGTTTGCCAACTCACCCAGCACGTTGTATCCCAGGATGCACGTCTGCGTGTGCCACGTGACGTCTCTCGTCACGGCCGGGTTTTCCCGCCGGTTTTCATCCACCTTCCAGAAGAGCAGCTCGTAGTCTCCGTCCACGCTCTGCAGGTACCGTCCGTCTGACGACCAGTCGATGTGGGTCAGGAAGTTCTTGTGTCCCTAGGATAGAGGTTGAAGAGAAACCGTAAGAAACCGTGCCCCAAATTGTGTCCTAAATCCACAATTTAGTGTGATGACAAATTAAAGTAGTGTCTTAAATTTGTGCCTCTAAAAATGGAGAGAAAGCTCTATATTTGTCTATGGTGGCATATTTGCAACGCATTATGACGGTAACGTTATTGTGAGATTTTGAGTGATGTTACATGTAACTCACTTTCAACAGCGCCGCCTTGCGGAATGTCCGCCCGTCGTCTAGAACAGAGAAGAGGTAGATGGTGTTGTCATGGGAACCCATGGCCAGGAGGCTGCCGTCTGCAGGAACACGGAACAGGGAAATTATGAACACTCGGTACAGCAGCACACTTTTTCGTCAAAATGAATGATCAACGATTACCTTACGTCTGTAGAACATTTGGGGGAAGTCGAAGTACCATATATGTGACTTTTGGCAGTCTAAAATTCAAACATTCGTGTTATCGTTTATGAGGTTTCCGCTTTGTTGACAGAGATGACTCCCACCTGGGGAAAACCTGATGGCGTCCAGTTGTTCCGTGCCGACTTGGAAGGAGGCGACAAGAGAGCCGTCGTACGCGTTCAGCGCCACGAACAGGCCGACTGTCGTGCCCACAACCGCTAAGGCACCGTTAGGGGAGAACGTCGCCGACAGGCAAGGTTTCTGTGAGAGAAAAAGGAAGCAAGAGTGAGGATAAAACTTCAAAAAAAATTCATGGTTGCAAAGTTGTTATTTCTACACTTACAGGGCGACTAGTGTGACTTTGCGGCTAAGGACAATCAAATTCTAACTCCATAAGACATTTGCTTATACATACTAGTAGACAATCGGATATCTCATCATCTGAACAACTCATCGACAGAAAAATGTTGATCTGAAGATTTACCTCGACAGAGACCCTCCAGAGTAGCTTGTGTGTAGCTGAGGACCACAGACAGACGTGATTGTCGTACCCTGCCGTCAGGAACGCGTGCTCGTGAGGATGGACAGCCAGCGCCCACAGTTCCTCACTGTGGCCCTGTCAATATCGTGAAAGGTATATATGTAAGGTAAGTATGAAGCTGCAATCTCTACTTATGTTTACATTACCAGATCTAAAGAAAGTGAAAAATCTAAAGTAACTCGCTACACATCCAGCTGATTCTTGAGAGATGTTTTACACATCCAAAGAAATCAGACTATGACTAAGTTGCGTTATGTCATTTTTCTTGATATGAAAGATCAACTACGACAGAGATAAGAGCATGAGGCGTACCTGGATAACGGTGGTGAATTTCGTCTGTAGGGACCCCTGTATGATGAGGTTGTTGGAAGTGGCCAGGTACAGCAGACCGTCCGCCTGTCCCGCGTTCTGTTCAACAATGGTCCGGATACCGCCGTTCGCTTCCGACAGCTGTCGGGAAAGATCAAAGTGTTTTGGTAAAATACACCGTTCAACATGCCACGAAATGTATTTTACAGGTTACAGTGGGTAGTGTACTGGTTGTAAATTAGAGTAGGTGGTTGCACCGTTAACCGATTGTTTGCGCTAGATAAAACGATTTTGAAGATGCAGCAAAGGTCTTTTATGATACATTGTAAGTCGCACAGGTCTTTTATGATAAGTCGCACACAATATGACAATTACACACATAATCTTTATTTCTAACATGCACTTTGTTATGTTATATTCTTCCATTTGCATAACTTGAATGGATCTACAAAATTTTCTAACATAGAAAGAGTGATAGACTGTACATGTTCTAAATGACCCATGTTTACCTGTCTCTCTGCCTTTGCCGGGATGTACCCCCTCAGGGAGTCCCAGGCCACCAACTTCCGGTCAACTCCGCCTCCGGATAGAAGGGTCCCGTCAGAGAGCATGCGCAGTGTGAATACGCTCTTCTGTAGAGGGCCAAAAATACATTTTATTAAAATCCGTACGCGTAACACTGTGTCCTATAGCTGGGCTCCAAAATGGACGCAAACGCATGTACATTGTTTTAGTGTGGTTCTATATTTTACATAGCCTTGATTAGTAACAGAATGTTGGTGTGTCATCTACAATAGTGTCGAACAAAAAAAAAACGCCCCCACACCTCATGTGCGCGCATGATAGCGTGCTGAAGGTTGAATATGTTGTTATCGTCACGTGACCACACCAGGATGTTCCCGCTCGAGTCTCCCGTGATGACGTCACCAGCGGCGGAAAACTCCATCCCGGTAATGAACTTCGGCTTCTCGCCCTAAAGATGGAGAAAACGTTGTTATATGTTGTCTGTGTCGTTTTGATGAACAGTGCTGTAAAATGTTCATATTTTGCATTTGAAACTCCACAATAGAACTGACACATGTTTAAGTACTACTATTAAACACTTACATACTAGGAGTACATGCTAACACTTGTCTTTAAATTTGAATACACAGAATGAGTTACCTATTAGCTTTTTTTACCTTTATATCCCTTTGTTTATTTGTACTGGTCACTGGTTTTGTAACTAACAAATGTAATGTAACCGTTGATAACCCTATTGATATTGGACTTACATGTAGCAGTACGAAAGAAGAAGAAGAGTCCTTACCTCGAACACACCGCTCTTCTTGTCCCTGAGGATCTTGCCGCCGACCATCTTCCAGAAGTACATGTGCTGCTTCCCTGCCGTGATGAGGATACTGTCCTCGTGCGGGTGGAAGGCGCCGAGCACCACTGTGTCCGGGTGAGTCTGGAGGGAGCAATGGTACTACGTATAGTCACAATTGTATGGTGCATGAACATGTAGACTGCGTTTGAGCTGGAACTAGTGGAAGACATTCCAGAGTCGTCTTTCCATCGTCAACATCGTGAAGTTGCCTATCTTCTTAAAACTTTGAGTGAATGACTGTTAGTCTAGGCTTAAGTCATTGTTTCAATCTGTTAAGAATTTGGAACTGTACCGCGTACATAAAAAGTATTGGAGTTAAAGAGCGATCTGACTCACCTTCGTTTTGGCGACGATCTTGTCTGCCTGCCAGTCCCACACACTCAGCACGTGGTTGTCTCCCTCATCTACCGCCATCAGGTACTGACCGTGGTTCTGAGCAGATAAAACAAGAACTGTTACTGGATCCGGAGTTCTTACAATTAGCGTGCTTGTGTACCTTTCTTCAAAAGGTATGGCATGATTTTGCCTTCTAATTCATGATCAGAATATTAGCATCTCGAACTCAGTTTCCGTACTTAGGCCCATGTGAACATTCTTTTCAGTGCTACCGACCTGTTTGGAGAATCCGAGACAGCAGATGCCGTTCTGGAAGGTGTCCAGCCCGATCACGGCCAGAGTGTTGAGCGACACGTGATCCCAAACTCTGATGTGTGCCTGTGTGATGTTTAACGCATGAAAGGTTAGTTTTGGGCGATTGAAAAATACAAGAGATATTATAGCAGAACCTACATATATCTGTTGTTATTAAGCCTTAAAAGACGACATTTAGTATGGGAATTTTTATCACTACACACGTGCTTCTGCATCGTTTGTGCTACTGACAGTAGTTCCCTAAACTAAAGAACACCTATTGAAACTCACGTGTGCATCCGGAAGCTGCCCGGCCATCTGTCCCGTGGCGACATACTGCTCACTGGGATGGTGGGACATGCTGTTCGGACGAGAACAGAATGAGGAAAACGTATTCAAATTTTGTTATGGCAATTTTAGACATACGATATCAGATCCGACTACATACATTCTAGGACTTGAACAGGAAAGGCAGTACAGTTGGTGACTGAACTTAGTAACTTATTAAAAGTCAATTCAATTGAGTGTCTTCATCATCATAAGAACAACAAACAACAATTCTGATAGAATTCAAAGGAGTACTAATATTAGTCACCATTGTATGTCTTCCGTGTGCCCGAGATAGTGTCTCTGTGTTTCCTTGCGCGGGTTGTACATGACGACCACGGTAGCCACGAAGTACATGAGCTCTCCGGACGGCAGAACGCACAGGTTGTCCCGAGCATCGTACCCGCGGTACCCGTACCTGTGGGGTCGTCAAGGTAGAACGGGCTACAGGACTAACTTATCGCAAAGCTGACACAGAGAGAGGGGCAACTATTGCATTGTAACAATACTGGTACATATTCCAATTCCAATAAGCCTAGCTCTAAAATTTAAATTTCCACGAAGTGAGGATTTTTTTCGCCGACAAGAAATGAAAGCTTTGCCATCATCTTGACTTATACTTTGCTTCCACATTTGTGTGCAAATTAGCGTCAACTGATTTGCAATATTTTAGATTTTGCCAAGTATGCAGATAAAACTTAACCTGGGCAATTTGATCCCTATTCAGTCTAGTTGAAACCTCTAGTTGGTTATCACGATGAGTGTTCTTTTTGTGACATATTATCATAAAAAGGATACACCCATTCCAGCTTGAGTTTCTTGCTGGGTCTGCTGCCGGGGTTGACGTACGTCTTGTCGTAGCTCGTGGGGCGGAAGAAGGTCTGCCGTCTGCCGTGGATGGTCATGCGCACGACGTCGTCTTCCGAGGCTATCGGGGTCGACACGTAGGGGTCACTGACCTGTGCACCTGACGTGTCCATGGAGTTGTCGCCGATGTCGTCCACTAGAGATTACAAACGGACGGGAAGTTTTAATATGCAAATCCTCCCGCACTTGACATGAAAAGGTTTTGCTGACACAGCCTCTACAAATATTACGTGCTAGGTGTGTCAACATCTTGTACAGGTGAAAACACAAAACAAACAAACGTGTCTAATCTTTGTCAAGGTGCTTTTAGACGCACACGTTCGTGACCAAACGACGCTACGTGCCGTTTGGTCACACCTTCAGTTCACAAGTTCGAGAAAATTCTACCCAAGGAGCCGTTCTAAAACGTCACTGCTTACGTGGTTTGGGATCGACATCGATGTCTGTTTGTGTGGCGTTGGACTGCACACTGCGCCTGCGTGGTCTGTAGGCCTCGCTGGGTGGTGATGGGAGATCGTCTTCTCCACTGTCCGAGCGGCTGACATAACCTGTTACAGATAGAGGGACACATCATTGACACCTCTTCAGTGTTGTTTGACCATGAATTCACTTATTTCGATTGGCTCCTCTTTTGTTTTAATCGTTCAAGCTTGATGTTGAGTAGTGTGGAGTTCATGTGGTTCGTCTAACTTGAGCGCGACACTACTTGGTCTGTTCCTTTTCTTTGCATGTTTTATGAAAAGGGCGAAAGACAAAACAAAAAAAAACTACCAGAATCGTGCAATTAAACTTATCAAATACATTGAAATCAAGGAAATGTTAAATAGAAGTGTGATGTTGAGCTTGTAGTACCGTTCATCTGCTGTGTCTGTGGTGTCTGTGTCTTCCTGGACTGTTTGATAGCCGGACGCTCGTGGTGCACGTGTGCGTGTGTGTCAGACTTGTACCCCTCGCTGCTGGGCGGGCCTCTTCTCAGGGCCTCCGAGCCGCAGGCGATGAAGATGTCACAATCACGGAACTCACGGAACAACTGGCCGAACCCCTGAACCTGGAACACAGCACAAGATCACACATTAATGTCACAATTCATTGGTGTGGGATGTAGTGCTCGTTAAGACAAGCTGTAGCATTGTAGGAAGACACTGTAGACGGCCATAACACCAAATCCTGAGTGCGTGCTGCCATTATCTTTCGAGATGGAAGAATTCATACTACTATTACTACTATTACTATTACTATTACTGCTACTACTACTACTACTACTACTACTACTACTACTACTACTACTACTACTACTACTACTACTACTACTACTACTACTATTACATGTACTACTAGCATTGACCTTAATCAAACGTCAGCATCCACGCACACGTTTTGATTTTGTAAAAACGACAGAAATGGTACGCACAGCGTACGTTTGCAGGTACAATGTGTGGAACGTCATTTGCTAGTTAACTTGTGTACTTACGCTATCATAGACGAGAATTGGGCAAGGTGAAGGTGAAGATATGTAAAGAAGTTGTTTGTATTGCTGTTAAGAATCTAATGGTAAAGCAGCAGTGATCTAATTGTGACCAATGTGCAATGTTTCCTGACATATTTTACTGAATGTGGTTACTAAGCACCTGTGTAAGCAGCAAAAACATTTGCTATGCATTCAAATGAAACTGTTAAGTGTGAGAACTTGTAAATACAGAGGTACAGTGTGATCATTGTTTCTTATAAGTACTGCAGGTGTGCTTGTCATTTTGATTGTTTAACCTGTGCTACATCATAGTCTTAACAAGTAATGAATAAGGCAGTAATAGCTGACTACGTCAACAAATGTTAGGGGTCGGTACAACACAGCGACAATCACATTCCGTGGTTTTATTAGTTTTAAGTCTGGGTACTCCACAACATGCCTCTGGAGCGCGCAGTTATGAGTGGAGTTATGACCTATGATTCAAAATGTCAGGGCAGGGCGTTAACTATTAACCTTTGATGTTTTATGTAATTAGTTTCGTCGTTGCCATGTAGAAAGAGCCTTGCGAACGCTTGATCCACAATTGAGTTAATATTCATCATATTTGTCTTGGGATTGTACGACAAATAAGAATATTGACAAGAGTAGAGTAGAAGAATATAGACTGTCTTTTCGTAACAAACAATGTCAGTGGAGGCCAATTTGGCCAAGGAATTAGGCAGGAAAGGAAGACATTTATTAGATGTCGCCGACCATAATGACTGCAAGTTTTTGACAGAAAGACTAACGAGGATAGTAAGGATAAATGTCAGTACCGAAACGGGCCTACCTTTTGTTCTGTTGAGAAGGTGTAGAGTGCCTCGATGGGAGGGTTGGTCATCTTGATGGCTCCCGTCATGTCTCTGAGAATGTCCTCAAAGTTCTGGGATGTTCTCGGGTTGAGTAAGATCTTGCCGCGGGAGTCCCTGTGCGTGTTGGAGATGATGGTGATGACCCTGGGCTTGCTCCGCGGAGACAGCTGGTCGCTCATCATGCTCTGTCTGGAGTCGATGGAGATCCTGTCCACGGGGTCTTCCTTGTAGAGGTAGTTCTCGCCGCGGCGCCTGCCCGCCGTGGGTTTCCTGTTGTGCCAGTAGCGCTCGGTCTTCCTGCCGTAGTCCACTCCCTTCACCATCTCCCCGCTGGCGCACACGTACGACTTGCCGTGCTCCAGCTCGCTCAGGTCCGTCAGCCGCTTGCCGCCCAGGGTGTACACGTGGCGGACACCGTACGGGAGGGGGATCTTCTCGCTCAGGAGGATCAGCAACGCTTCCATGTTGCGGATCCGCTTGTTGTTGATGGCGAAGTTGACGCCCTTCCAGTGAGGGTCGCCGTTGCGGTAGAATGTCACCCTCCTGGCCCGGCGTGGCTGGCTGAGGGGCTGACGGCTGTCCAAGACGCTCCGGGCCGTCGTGAGATCGTCATCGTCTGAGAAGTCACTCTCGGAGAGATGGTTGGCGGTGGTGACTGTTTGTCGGCTCTCTGGGTATGCGGGTTTGGAAGGGGGTAGGATTGGAGGGATGTATGGAGGCTGTTCGATCCGTGCGACGTCCAGGACGTTGTTCTCAGGTGCCTGTATACAAAAAGACACAGGGTAAACAGGATGTTTTCCAAGAACATAGGTAGAATGAATCTATGGTGCCCTACAAGACGCAAAGATAGGGACAGATCTGAAGACCGTTACGCTGCTTTTATGACTAACCTTACCTTCTTTTTATCGTTTGAAAGCCAGTCGGCGGGTAAGACAAACGCGTAACGCTTCTTTCGCACATCGCGAGGGAAAATATTCTTGCCATAAACTGTTTCAGTGAACGGTTTGGCATTACGTGGTCCCAGGGGCCTCCCTTTCCTCACCTTCCCCTTCGGTTCTCCCCCGGGGAGGTCAGAGGGGATGAAGAACCGCACCCCCTTCTGCACCTTCCCGCGACGCTCACCCATTCTCCAGGAGCAGGAATGGCGGGGCCATCACGACTAAAACGTCGTCTGAAACGACTTTCATTTACAGCAGCGCCCTCCCACCATCATACGTGCCGGGGAATCTTGTCAGAGTTTGACCCACACGTTACGTGCAGTATCGCGGCACAAAGGGATCCGGGCGTTGTTAGGAGACAAATGGTCCGTGTTTAAATAGTTACTGGCAAACAGAGGCCGCTTTCAGGCGACAATGTACACATCCACCGAAAGTCGGGCGTGTTCAAACATATAACTGATATAATCCCGGCCGAGCTGTTGCAAAGGTCATCATTTCATGTTGTAATTGGGGCACAGAATTTATCACATACATGTATCAGCCATTTGTGAAAAGGATAAGAAGTACAGGCTCTCTTTTAGAGCAGTTAGTATGACACTCTCAGTGTGATACATGATAATATCATAACAAGAATGATATTTATAATAAAAGACTCGTTAAACAACGTCAACTTCCCAATCTTGACTTAATTTTAAGATTTATAAGTTATGACACTTTGAAGAAACTCAGAGTCCACATGGCTCTGCAGTGTAGAAGAACTTTCCAGGCGGTTTTCCAAAATTTCAAAAGATCCATCCTGGCACTAGGATCCCTTCATTATCTCCCCATTTCATGTATTGCTTTATCTCCGGCTCAAGACCCATAAAAGACGAAATACACGTACACAAAGGACGTGTAGGGTTCAAAAGAAGCTTTACCAACAAGGCAAAATCCCCCTCACGGTCCAAAGAAAACAAGTCGTAGTTGCGTGCTGCTTAAATAGACGGATTAGAGTAAAGAGAGACCCTCTCCTTTATAAGCTCACCAGGCCACCAGCCAGCTTACAAATGCGGGGAGTGGAATTTCTAGAAGATAGAAACGACACAGAACACTCGCGACAATATACAGATCTCAACCAATGTTCTGTGGAGGAATATTAAAGCGTACAGGTATGGAGGTAAGCACAAGGCCATGTATTGTTGTTGGGAGTAGGTTGTGGAGGAATATCCTGTCACAGGAAGATGACATACGACACATTTAATGTGTGATGATAGCAAACAAAACCGCGTGTCCGGGGGGTGCCTGACAAGTCACGGAGATGAAAAAGTCTCAGAATTCCCATTCCAGTCATGACCTCCTCCTGATATATGGAAACAAGTTGTGTAAACCTCCGCTACTGCGCGTGCCTGCCACTGCACCACAGGGACTTTGACTTTCTCATGGACACATAGATCGCTGGGATGCATAAAGATAGGTGACTAAAGAAGAGCCACTTAAGACGGTGTCAGATGAGAAATGTAGAATTCGAAGGAAGTGTCCAGCTGAAGCAAAAAGTTCATTTTTTATTGAAATTGTCAAACTTAGTCTACATTTTGCAAACGCTAGTGTAACTCAAAAGTCCAATTTTAAAAGAAAAGTATTTAATCCTCAAATTAGTATTTCGTAATCCTACACACAACGCCCTCTACCGTGAAAAAACATGAACTTGCACCAAGTTGAAAGTAGTATACCAATGCTCGAATCCATCCCCAGAATGCCCTGCATCTGGCCCAGTCGGATCAGATTGACCCTTACCGTGACAGGTGCTCCCTCTCAACATGCTCTCAACCCGAACCCCCCTGTGTGTATCCTGCTCCATCCAGAGTGGCTTCTCTGCAAACAATAATGGCTCAATCCTTCAAATCCTCGTCGACGCCTGGGCAGAATCCACTTGAGTTTATTCCCGTTTTTGTTACATAAGGCGGAGTATCCTGTTCAACAGAATGTCACGTACCGTGTCTGGGATTATGTCAAGTGGACAGAGTCTGCCTTGATGATGATGATTCATCCCACTACCGATCCGACAAACACTTCATAAAAAAATAAACTCGTTGTCACTCACAGGAAATGGCTAGTTCATGAAATGGAAGTGTTTTGACTGATGCTTATTTCTTGAAACTGACTCTGCCAAAAAATGATTTCACGGCAAGATACATCATGAATGAAATCATCCTTTCCGTATCCGGCTACATTTTATATCAAGTAGCAAATCTATAATTCAGTTTGGAAGAATATTTCCTGTGAACTTTATTTTATTTATGTTCATACTTCTGACGGCCATTGTGATTTTCTATACGTGCTACAGTGTGCGGAAGGCGCATGCGTCACTAATCCATGGCCTTGAATGAAGTACGCACTTGGTCTTCATGTAACAAACAAATACAGTTCTGAATGGCGCAGGCTTTTCCTTAAGTAGGCATTTCCTTTCCAACAATTGCACGAAATCCTCTAATTCAGCAAGTGGTCTTTCTTGTACTAAAACCCCATACTTTTATATCTATATGCATAACGTACACATTCGAAACATAGTGGACTTCCCTTCATTCTCGTTCGATACAACTGAAAGTGCGCATGCATATCGTTGCATCATTATATAGAAATTACAATATTGAGAAAAGAAAGATCGTCGTTGTTTCGAGAAAAAAAGGAAAGAAAAAAGAAGGGTCTTTTGAAGTTTTTGACCTCTTCATTTTTTTGGTTCTCTTGGCATATTATGTTGATAAGGCCCAGAAAGGCATCCCTGTAATGATCAAGGTACTTGTTTCATGAAAGTGAGCATATATACTCTGGTCGGTATCAACCTAAAATTGCATAGCATGGAAAGATTCTTTACCTTGGGAAAGTAACGGTCTTCCAACGACATCCACAGTACAGTGCATTTAGCGCGGTGCATCGTGTTCATGGTTCCACGGTTAATGAGCGTGTTTTGGAACGGCTATAATTCCTCATACTCATTCCCACTACTGATGTGTTTTGTGGCCAAGTACGCACTTCGCCCTCAACAAAGCGATATGGCATTGACTGACGCATACATTTTCTTTTGACGTACAGAAATCAGTGGTACTTGAGTAAAACTATCAATTTCAATATATGACGTAGATTATGTCATTTGATGTTTAGAAGAAATGTTAATATGCAAAGTTACGTTATTTTCCGTTACGGCACATTGATGGTGAACATGGGAGATCATGAGGTGTCAACTATTAGCGTTCTTTTCCTCATCTTCATCAATAATTTCTTCAGACTTTGTTCATAAAAAACATGGATTGGGCATAATACGTGCAAAACACCATGTAGTCATGAGGATGGTGCTTAACCTTGAATCCTTTGACTGACTGAACAGTGGGAGCCATTTCCCTCATTTTCTATGTATGGTGAATTCTCAGAAGCTGTGAAGTACATATGAGTTGAAGGGGAAGCAATAGAAATGGTTATACAATGGTTTCCAGTGTCAAGTCCAGACAAAGAGTAAGCATTTTCTGACGTTTCATTGGTTACATGACGTGTTGGGTACATCTGAAGTGGATGCACATGACGTTATGTAAGTTCCCGACAGGCGTCTGCGCATGTGCGAGAATCTTCTGGAACGTCAAGCATACGCGTGACTTTGCGCATGGCATGTAGAACGTTAGGAGAGCGACTGTGCTCTTGTAATAACCAGGTAGATTATGTGATATTTTTCTATTGACGGAAGTTGATCTCTACTGGCATCGCGAGTTGTCAAATTTTGAGATGGATTTTAAGAACAGAACCAACTGGCTATACTTGGAGTAGGCCTCTCATCACATATATACATATGTTTGTATCATTTCCACTCTGGCTACTTCAAGAAGCTTCATTTTCGGTTATCTATTCTTGCAAAAATAATTTTTGAATGTTCAATGTTTTGAAATGCCCCCTACTAACCCGATAAAGACCACCGTATGACGAACTGAGGCGCTAGGCCCGCACACAGACTAAATTAGTTACATGTATGTTGGTGTTTGTTTAGAACGATAAGCGACAATAGGCCGCCTGCATTTTTGACTTTGATTGTTGGCGTTACTTACGTACATGACCTTCAAGATTAGGTTTCGGGGGGCCACTTTGGTCTGCACGTACCTCAAGCTTAAAATGTGCCACAAAATGTGTGTGCAGAAGAAAAATTATCAGTTTAGTCAGCAAAGTACTACTCATACTCATAAAGGAAATTTGCCCGTCACTGAAACTCTACCAATGCTTACTTCACCGGTCATTGGTAGTGTTGTGTAATGTTATATATAACATCTACAGTGGTGATTCAGTGATGAACGTTAGCTTCTATATTCTTTAGATATAGAATGTAGCAAATATAGACACGTTTATTCATAGCATCGTACACCTGGTTTTCAAAACGTTTAATAGCTAAGTGAAGGGGTAATTTTACAATTATCTCCAGATGTTATCGTCTTTGTTTGATGTCAATGTGCAGACTCTACAGCTAATGTTCTGGTCGCTGTAGTGCCGGATGGATGGCATAGTTTCTCCCGGGGCTGGCCGCCTAGCTACCGCCTGTTAAGTGCAGCTGTGAAGCAAAGAACCGGTTCATACAGTCCTCTTGTCACATAATTAACGGGGACCTTTGGCCTGTTCCACGCATTTGTCTTCCGCCATTTTGACTAAGATCGTTTGTAATCCCGACAGTTCTAGTAATGATGATTCCACTGTACACTTCGGGAAGTTTGCAGATTAAGAAAGTGTTTGGTTGTGGTCATTTAAGCAGCAAGAAAAATATTCCAGTCGACCTTATGAATTATAACAACATTAAGGTTTTAACTTTAATCAAATTTTCTTATCTCATACCTATCTCTCAGTCCAATCGCTTGGTTACCTATTCATTAAATTGCATTTACGGAGCAAAGTTAAGCAGGCCATCCGGAATGTGTGAGACCCAACGCCAACCCATACCAGAAAACCTCCGTATAACATAAGACCACTTAAACAGGCCATGTAAAGTAATTGTGACGGGTTAATTAATACGTACACAGTGACTGTCCACCCGTTATATAGTGTAAACACTCGGTACACAGTGAGAACGAAGTGAGTACCTCTTAAACACACACAACATGCTTCATTGGAGAAACATCCTTTTCCTAACGTACGGAAAGGACCTCCTAGGTTCCCCGAAAACGTATTCAAGCGATAACGTTGTAGTCAAAAGGTCTGAGATAGTCGCCAAGGTACAAGACTTTACTGACAGCCGTTACAGACATACCTGGGTGGCACAGGTGCCACACAGAGCGTTAAGTAACAAGTCAAATATGTAAAAGCAACACAGTTCACTCCTCGGTCAATTTAAGGTGAGCGTTGACAGTTCAATTGACGTACGGGACGCCTAACTGTTCATTCTATGAACACGGTATAAACCCTTTGTGTACGACCACAAGATGACAAAAATGCAGATTAATGCATTGTCCAACCAAGGACCTCGAAATAGCTAATATAACATCCTTGGGTCGACGTAGAAGCACATGAAAACACACCATTGTAATGTTTTGTCACCAAACAACCTCACAAGACCAACATCCTCCCTCCCCACATACCATCCATGACGTGGGAAGCAAACAATGAACCTCATCAAACTACAATTGGTCATGATGTTATCTCGACATATATGAACCACCTGTTGTCTACTTGACTGTATTTATATATGATCGCGCACATGTATTATGTATGGGCCATATCTGGTAAATAAGGACACATGTCATTGCGCTATTGTGTCGCACAAAGCCGTCTAGGTGCGAAACACAACTACTTGGGCACAATATTTATTCATGCGACACACATTCAAAAATAGCGTTAACTTCATAACCAAAAGTAGGAAATACGCAGCACACTACTACAAAGTGATTTAGAGTAAGAAGGCACTCTGCATGTTACATTTTGAAACAAAATTAATGTTTTTGGTCTGATAAAAGTCATCTTCCAAAACAAATGGTTTCTTACCTTGGGTAAACTTGCATGTTGTTTGTTCTGTGTAGGATCCATGGTCTCTTGAGCCCTCAGCAGGCGTTCTGCCCGGTTCAGCACGTCTGCCCGGTTCTCCCGGCTGATGTCAGCGGTCTGTACGGGCACGGGGATTCGGCTCCGCGGGGAGGTGTTCCCCGGGAAGGCGGGATCGTCCTGAGCGGCCGGGGCAGACTTGCTCTGCCGCCCGTCGTTCGCTGGCACCCGTATCTCGATCGGGATGGTGATGTTATCCTTGTGGGTCGGTGCCAGGGGACCGCTCAGTCCCTCCTCCGGTGACGTTATAGGTACGATCTCGTGCTTGATTTTCCCCACTTCGATCTCCATCTTATTCTCGTCGCCGCTGTTGGGAACACTGTCCTCCGACTCCGCTCGGATGTCGATACCGGAGTCCCTCATACTGTGTACGCGGGAGTCCTGGAGGCTCGGAGCCGAGCCTACCTTGGCCAGGTTCATCTTGGTCGAGATCTCGAAATCTTTCTGCTCTTTCGAGGTGAGATCTTCGGTGTTGATCTTGAACTTCTCATCCCCGATAGTGATGTTGATATCCTTGATGGTATACATTTCCTGTGATAAAAGTCGAAAGATATGCTGTGTTTAAGGAAAAATCTCACCACTCTGAACTACACTTAGTAATCGGTGTAGATCGTCGTCATCTATCTAGAGTACTTGTATCTTTCGCCATTTCCTGTCCCACGTAAAAAGCACGTACAGCGTGTCTAGAATAATGGCGGATACACGGGGCATGCCTGACAAAACCCGCCTCAAGAGCGGCTGTCGTCAGCGCATTGGCTGGCGCGGCCTCTTTGGTTCGTCACTATGGCCTGCGCGCACACTGACAAGTGTACATAGTTACTCAAGCACAGCAGGCAATAGGACGGTGTGGGCACAATGGAAACAACCACCTCCTCCGCCGAGTGAAAAGCTGTCACGTGGTGTGACGACAAAACCCCTTAAATGGCTTCGATTACCCTTATTAATGGATTAGTTGTTTGCTCACTGATTGGAGTGTTGGTTTAAGGCAGGCAAATAAGGAGGATTTGTGAAGGAGAGTAACAGGTGGGATGGTGGCATTACGTCGCGGTTAGCGCGGTTTATTTTAGAAATCAGTCTTAAATCCAGCGGCCAAAAGACACCTTAACTAAGCTCGTTGCCATGGTAACTCCACACGTCAGTTACGTCAAGTTGCCCCCGCCCCTAGCAGGCCTACCTTCCCGTGAAGCGGGCACGGCGGCGGTATGTTGGGCGAAACAAGTCTTTATGTGACATTAGCGCGTGAAAACATTCCGCCATGGCAAGGCGGCAAACACAACAGAACCCTTCAGATTACACAACAGACTTTGGTCTCCCGTGGCGTTTTTTTCGCATGTCCGCCACGGCTAACTTCAACCGCGCGCCGGCAAATTCAAAACGGGACAAAGAGCGGGGTTTGGCGGTGCGCTCACAGACTTGGCCGTGAAAGACGCTTCCTGAGACGGAATGTCCAAAACCACAACTTTTCTCACACGACAAAAGATGCCCATACTTTTCGTAGCTATTTTCAACGACTACTGATTTCATAAAATGAAACCATTGCTGATATATATATATCATTTTCTACGGTAAGAAAAATTCAAGTTGAAAGTTCAAATACATATACTTTGCTCTCCAATTTATAACACTTGGAGTGATTTACGACGACAGTGAATAGCATGAAGAGTTTTCAACACATTCAGTGCAACAAATAACTTTGACAGATGTTTGACAGAAGAAAGTGCTCCCTTTATGGACGGACGATAACAGAAACAATCTGGGACTTACCGGCTTCTGTCCGTCAGTTCCCAGAGAGAGTCGTCGAACTTGAGGCTTTTCCGAAAGAATGTCAGGAATCGGCGTGCCTTGAGAATGCGTCGAAGAGTGTCGACGACGCGAAACTTCCTTTATTTCGGTTTCCTCAAGAGAATATCTTCGCACTTGAAGCTTCTGGAAGGCGGCCTCGGGGAGCAGCGCGGCTTTTACATGCGCAGCAGAGTGTCGGCGGCGGGTTATTTTGGTGTCTGCAGAAAAAAAAACAGTTCGTTATTTTCAAGCAAATTTGGAAATCTTGTTTCAGGTCGCGCTGTAGATATTCTGCCACAAATGATCTAGCCATTGAAGATACCCAAAATCGCTGTCTCGGAGAGCTGAAAAATGTTAGAACTATCATAGAAATCAGCTCCGGAATCACATCAAAAGAAAGCTTTTCAACGGATACATTTTAAAGGCCCAAAAAAGTTTTTTTTTTTTCACCTTCACCTGAGATCCCGCTATCGTCAGAGTCAGAAGGCCGTCGGAAGGCCCGGATATCTTCCTGGCGATGCATACTGTTGCGTGGAAGAACGGCGACTAATCCGACGCAAGAAGTTGAAATCCCTCAAAGCCCACAGAAAATGCGTAACAGAACAATGCTTGACGCCCTTGAAGGTTTTAAAATAGTAACACATTGTTCATAATCAGGTCCGTCATTGGTTAGCCTACAAACTTGATCATCGGGTTGATGTAAGCGTTATGCATAAGTTTGATGAAGGGTGCTCGTGTCGTTCTGCTCGGCTTCAGCTGCGATTGATTTCTGTTTCACGAAGTTTCGTTGAAATGGTCTGCGCATGCGTGATTGTTGACCAGGCTACTGAAGGGCTTTCGGAAGAGCTTTTGTTCCCCTTACAGACTTCGGACTAACGGTCAAGATGACGACTTATAACTCAAGTGTGTCATACACAATAACTGAGACCCGGATAAAAGACCGCTTTGCATTGTGGTACATATTGCATGGCTTTTAGGATAAAAAGCCAAGTGCTCACGTCAAAGTCTGGACTGGATAGCGACGGCTTGTAATATACAGAATTAAGCAATGCTAATTGTAAGGATAATTTAGCGACCGTTTAGTATTACTAAGGGTTCTTCTCATTACATATTTACACAGACAATTGTTAGAATTCAGAATTTTGTGGGGACAATGATCTTTGCTTGAGGCATAAGTGTAACATAAATCCAGTCAATGAGAACGTTTCAATGGCACCTCTTGTTGTTCAGTTTTCAGTTGTGAGGCGTGTGCAAACGAACTTATGTAAGTTCTGACACGTGTATGCGCATGTGCGCGACTTTTCTGGGTCAAGTTTATGCAAATGAAACACCATCATGGACGATCCTGACACGTGTATGTCCATCTGCGCAAAGTACTTGTGGCAAAAATTCTCAGAAGTCCAAACAAAGAGAAAATCTTTCCCGAATTTTAATTGGTTACAAGACTTGTTGGCCAGGCTTCAGTTGTGAAGTGTATGCAAATGAGGTTCTAGGCGCGTGTACGGTACTTTTCTGGGACAAGTGTATGTAAATTACATATGTGAGTTCCTGACACGTGTACGTCCATCTGCGCAATGTACTTGCGACAAAAGTTTGACAAAAGTCCGAACAAAGAGTAAACTTTTTTCCGACGTTCTCTTGGTTACAAGGCTCGATGGCCTAGGCTTCAGTCGTGAAATGGATGCAAAACTAAAAATGATTTACTAACGGTTTTTCTCATTACATATTTATATGAACAAAAGAGAGTCGTCAGCAAATGCATTCTTTTTTCTTATCCGACATTTGACAGACGGATACACAATAGTTCTTACTTGCAACATAAATTTGGCATTACAACCAAACCTTAAGTAAGCTTTTTCGGACATTTCCATTGTTACATGAACTGTTGGTCTAGCCAGGGATGTACAGAACTACGCAATTCTATTTGAACAATGATTTTACTGACGGTTCTTTTTATTACATAGACGAACGAAAATTGTCAGGAAATACAGAATTTTTGCTCAGCCGACATAGTCGTATAGTTCGTACTTGTAACATATTAAAAGTGTCACATTAAGACGAAACAAAGAGCAAGCTTTTCCCGAGGTTTCATTTGTTACATGACTTGTTGCACTAGCCTGGATATCATTCCGACGTCCGTAGTTGTCACTTGCTTTCCCTTTACGCTACCACGGAAGAAAAGTAAGAAAATTTAAAGGGAGAGCGAGTGGTAACTAGTCGTGGCGTCGTGTGGCGTAGCGGTAGCGTATTCGGCTAAGGACCAAGAGGTCCTTGGTTCGAATCCTACCATGTCACCGATCTTGTGCCCTTGGGGAAGTCATTTTACACGACTTTCCGAACTTCACTCACTTCAGGTGGAAATGAGTACCCAGCTTCGGTTAGGGACGTCCGTCGGATAGGACGTTAAATGGAGGTCCCGTGTTTTCGTGGAGAGCCACATCCCACGCACATTAAAGAACCCATCGCACTTTTCGAAAAGAGTAGACCTTCCCGGTGTGAGTGGTTCAAACCTTACAGTCCGGTCTTACGCAGCTTGTACTTACATGTACAAAACGTGCTTACGCCTTAATGCGGTTTACCGGTTATGCGAAACAAACTACGGATGATGGTACCTAGCATATTGCTGGTCAGTCTTCAGCTATTTAGTGTATGAAAAAAAATATGTAAGTTTCTGACACGTGTATGTGCATGTGCGTGAATTTTTTTTGGGTCAAGTGTATTCAAATAACAGTATGAATGTTTCTGACATGCGTATGTCCATCTGCGCAACTTAGTGTACTTGCGACAAAAGTTTGACAGAAGTCCAAAAAAAGAGCAAACTTTTTCCGACATTTCATTGGTTACGCGACTTGCCATTCAGTACGTCAGTTGTGATATGGATGCAACATAAGAATGTATAAATTTGAATTCCTAACATCTAGATATCTACGTGTGTGTGCATGTGAGCGAATATGAGATACAGAACTAATGCTGAGGTCACATTTACAAACCGGGGCCTTGGCTGTTTCGATTAACGAAAAATCAACAATTCATATCAATAATACACATGGGTAGTTCCCACTATTGCTTTTTCAACTTTTTTGTGCTTTGTTGTCTTTTATATCATACTTTTCGTTCCATAAGACTGCCCGGCCGGGCCCCGGTTTGGAAATGTGACCTCAGCGTAAGCAATACTAATTGTAACAATGGTTTTAGTAACGACTCTTCTCATTACATATTCACACGAACAAAAGGCAACGCTTGCAGACGTTTTGCTCAACATTTAACATATCTCACTTGCGACATAAATATGACCTAAATCCAGGCAAAGATCTAGGGTAAACTTTTTCCAAAGTTTCGTTGGTTACAGGACTTGTTGGTCAGTATACAGTTGTGAAGTGTATGTAAATGAGGTTCTAGGCGCGTGTACGGTACTTTTCCGGGTCAAGTGTACGTAAATTACATTATGTAAGTTCCTGACACGTGTATGTCCATGTGCGAAATGTACTTGCGACAATAACTTTGCAAAAGTCTAAACAAAGAGTAATCTCTTTCAAAAAGTTGAATAAACATTTGGTGCTTTCTAAATTGCGTCTTCAGCTAGGAAGTGTGTAAATTATGTAAGTTCCTGCGCAATGTATCTTCGACAAAAGGTTGACAGAAGTCCAAACGAAGAGTAAACTTCTGATGTTTCACACTTGTTTGTCAGTATTTGTGAAGTGAATGCAAATAAAATCCTGACACGTGTATGTCCATGTGCGCAATGTACTTCCAAAAGTCCAAACTAAAAGTAAACTTTTTCCAAAGTTTCGTTGGTTACAGGAATTGTAGTAAGTCTTCAGTTGTGAACTGCACGCAAATGAATCTATGTAAGTTCCTGACACGTGTATGTCCATGTGCAAAATGTACGTCCAACAAAAGTTCGCAAAAGTCCAAACAAAGCAAACTTTTTCCGGTTTCATTGGTTGTTGGTCCGTCTTCAGTTGTGAAGTGTATGCAAATGAATTTATGTAAGTTTCTGACA